TAAAATATTTTTTTCTTATTGTTTCAACAAACACAACAACAATAGCAAGCCCACTGAATAAGGGACAAATTAGCGCATTTTCTTAAACAAATCAGAGAGTAAAGTTAACATAACAAACAGCAAATCTGAAATCAGGTTTGACAGAGTAGTTTTCAGGGAAAAGCAGGATCAAACATTTGCTCACCTGGGACAGAGATCACTAGATGGCAAACACACTAGAATAAGGGTGAAATTAGAAATATTTCATGAATTTCCAAATGTCCAGTGTGCTAAAGCATCAGAGTGTGAATCTGCCAGGATGCACATATCTGCAGGGATCCTAACTTCTTTCTGGCTTCTCCAGGGTTGGGGAGAACCACTCAGCTCCTACCTCCTGGGGTGGTGCTCAAGGGGGAGAGAAGCAGCCCCCTGCCTAGAGCTCCAGCACCTCCCCCAGATCCTCCACACGACAAGTTATCAATGTGCACGGGAGGCAGCCNCTCCAGGGTTGGGGAGAACCACTCAGCTCCTACCTCCTGGGGTGGTGCTCAAGGGGGAGAGAAGCAGCCCCCTGCCTAGAGCTCCAGCACCTCCCCCAGATCCTCCACACGACAAGTTATCAATGTGCACGGGAGGCAGCCAAGCCAATATTTATGCTTTACATTTTGAGAAACTGCTGAACAGTTTTTCGATGTGGATATACAATTTTATGTTCTCACCAGCTTTTTATGAACAGACTTCCACATTTTCATCAATATCTCTTATTATTCCTTACTTTTATCATATTCATACGACGTGGCACAAAACAGAAACTTAAAACATAAAAGAACCCACACACTAAGCACTGCATGTTATTAATTCCACTTATGAAAATTATACAGAATAGGAATGCATGGAGACAGAAATTAGGTTAATGGTCACTGGACTGGGATAAGCAGCGGGAAGGGAGGACTGGAAAGTGACACTGAAGAGACGTGTTCATTTTGGGATATTCAGATAAACTAATATTAAATTCTGTTTTTGGTTTCACAAATTTTGTTAATTATTTTGTGAGTAACGTATACTGAAGTCTTCTAAACTGTACAGTTTTATAGGTAGATTTTATCATAAGTAAAGTACATTTCAATAAATTTAAAATTCTACACATCATTTTCAAATATCAATATAGTTATACAATTTCATACCGTTTATAAACCCCATGAAACATATGTTTGTGAAATAAACAGCAAACATATTGTGCTGCCAGTAATTTAAAGGATATGAGTGCATG